GGGAAGTCTGTGGTTGCTTTTGAAGGGCTCTGTGTACACAAGCAACAGCATAGGCAAGAATCTACATTTCTTCACCTGAAACAACAGACAAAAGTAGAACAGCTTTTAATAAAACCATTTTCAAACCCAAGAAAACAGGTTTCTAGTTTTGTGCTAAAACACTAGATATACCAGGATACACCAGGATTGTCAGTGAGGATGGATTATAGTGGCAAATAATGTGATTATGGAGGTAGGAGGAAAGAAATCAGCAGTCTGTTTTCCAACATGCACAGTTTTAATCTAGTGTTCCTAGTGAGATTTATTTTTCTGCCATGCCAGCTTTTTTTTCAGCATGGTGTCTTCTGAAGGGTTTAGCTAAAAAACAGTGATCCAACAACCATCTAGATGCTGGGAAAATGTGTTAAGTAACTGAAATTGTAAAAGAGGTGATGAATTGATGGAGTGCCAGGTCCCTGTGTGGCAGTTCCATTGCCAAAGAAAGGTGTCAGCATTGGACACCCAGGAAGAAGACAGCCAGTCTGTGTTTGTCATACCCCAAGTGACTTAAGTGCAGATCAGATTCAGTGCTTTTTTCCCCTCTAAGTTTGGTAACTCTATTACCAAATTTAATCTTTAATCATTTAGTACTTGTAGTGGAGGAGAAAGAAAAGGGCTTTACTGACGATAAAATGGTGGAAAAGTAAAGGGTGCAGTTGTAGGGCAGGGTTTTTCAGCTTTCTACCAGTCTTGATCTGAGATTCAACGAGTGTTGAATATAAATATGTATATAATGTGTTGAATATAAATATATATATAAATATGTCAGAGCCCCTGGTGGTCTAGTGGTTAAGGGCGCGGCGCTGTCACCGCCGAGACCCGGGTTCGATTCCCGGTCAGGGCCACTCCCGGGCAGGTGGGGCTCGTTAGCCCTTAAAGGCAACCCAGCTACGTCCTAAGGACCTCGCTGCCACCGTCCAAGCTCGCTTGGCCCCGGCAGATGAACCTTAGGATTAAAGGGTGGGCTCAGTTCCGCACACACTGTGTCTCACCTAAAAAAATCCAATGCGCAGGCTGGAAGGTGGAAAGACCTTCCCCGGATCTTCGCTTGCGAAGACTGGCCAATATTATTATTATTATTATAAATATGTATTTCCTTAAAATTTGCTTTCCACTGCCTCATACCATTGAAGACTTCAATTCTATCTCATTCAGAAATCTTGTGAGGTAGAGAGAAAGCAATAGGTTGTCACTGGGATGGATAATTTAATTAATAACAGTGACGCTATAAAAACAGAATCATAGAATCACAAGATCATTGAATTTTGTCAGGACTGCTGGAGATTGTCTAGAGTAACCTCCCCTGCTCAAAGCAGTGCCCACTAGAGCAGGTTTCTCAGGACCATGTCTAGTCAGGGTTTGAATATCTCCCAGAATGGAGGCTTCACAACTCCTCTGGGCAGCCTCTTCCTCTACTGTTTGACCACTGGCACAGTAGAAAAATTTGTTCTTATGTTTAAATGGAATTTTCTGTAATTGTTTCTGATTGGTGCTTTTTGTCCTGTCATTGGGCGTCAGTGGGAAGAACCTGGCTCCATATTCTTTACACCCTTCCACCAGGCATTCTGAGTGAAGTCTCTTGGCCTGATGGTGCTGCACTTGCTGATCCAGCCCAGGATGCTGTTGGCTTTCCTGCATACAAAGGCTCATTGCTGGTTCAAGTTCAACTTGTTCTTCACCAGGATCCACAGGTCCTTTTCTGCAAAACTGCTTTCCAGACTGTGAACTCTTTGGGATCCTGATAACCCATTTCTCCAGACTTTTGAGGCCCCTCTGAATCACTTACTTGACATATCAAGCACTCCCCAGGGGTTTTGATTGCCTGCTGTCTTGCTGAGGTTGCACTCAGTCTTGCCATCCAGGTCGCTGGTGGAGGTGTTGGGCAGTGTTTGCCACTGGCGTGCCCCAATAGGGACTGGCCTCCAGCTGCTCTTTGTGCCACTCACCAAAGCCCCTTGAACCCAGCAGTTCAGCCAGGTTTCAGTCCACCTCGCTGTCCACTTATCTAACTTGCACTTCATCAGCTTCTCTGAGGCTTTTATGAGCGATTGTTTTGAAAGCCTTGCTGGGAGTCAAGGTAAACAACATCTGCTGCTGTCCCTGCGTCCACAGAGCTGGTCACTGCATCGCAGGAGGCTGGCATTGGGTAAGCACGATTTCCCCTTTCTAAGTTTGTGCTGACTACCCCAGGCCATCTACTCGACTTTAATATGTTTGCAGATGTTTTCTAGGATTATTTGCTCCATCATCTTCCTGGGAAGTGAGGAGAGGCTGATTGGCCTGTAGTTTTCTGCATCTTCCTTCTCGCCCTCATGGAAGAAAGGAGTGACAGTTGCTTTCTTCCAGCATTCAGAAATCTCCCCTGATCATCACAGTTTTTCAAATATAGATGAAATTGGGACCTTGGCTTCATCTATCCTTTTATCAGTTGGGGGGTCTGTAAATTAATTCTCGATTATGGTGTTGGTTTTTAATTTTTTTTTAATAATGTTAGGGTCTTCTTGTTAATCATCTACTAGAATAGCTTAATGGGATTTTTTCCTCCTCACTCAGAAACAATGAAGAGAAATATTAATAGTTAACTTTCATAACCAGATTTTCCATCAAACTGTTTCAAGTATATTCCTATTTGTCTGTTGGAGCATGATTTTTCAGAAAGAGCACTTTTGTTTCTCTGTAACTTCTAGCAAGATGTGAATGTGTCCATTCTTTAACAAATAAGGGATAACTGTCAGATCTCAAATTGGATCTGTGAAGGTTTTGCATAAATACTTGAAATAAATACTTAAAAGCAAAAATACAGGCTGTATTATGTAGTACAAGGTGTTAATAATCATTTATCAAAACTACATTAGTTTTCCACAATAAAACAATCGCCTGATTCAAGAAAAGCAAAGCTTCCTATTTGGAAGGCTCTTGTGAGATTGTCTCCATATTTCTTTATTCTTTTAAATACCTAGAGTAAATTTATCTCATCAAGTTTGATGATCTAAATCTTAGAATATGTTACCTCCAAAAGGATCTTAGGACAACTTGTAAGTTATGGGTCTTATACAGATAGATTGAACTACCCACGGGAGATTCCTGTCCTTGTCTGCTGGCTGGAGAGGGATTCTAGACAGATAGTTTAGACCAACCACTTGCCTAAAGACATCTAAAATTAGATGAGAGGAATGTGATATGCTATTACAGTAGCTTAGAGTTGAGCATTACAACTTTCATATTTCTTGAGCTCTTTTCTGCAGATTTATTCAAATTATGAGTTGTTACCTAATTTACAAGTGAAAGGACATTTTGCACTTGCAATTACTAGTGTTTTTTGGAATTATTAGTAACACTTTTAAAATTGCATTGGAAGCAGACTTTGTGCATATGCTCTCAATGAAAACAAGATAGCAAATACAGCGATTTATTTTTATGTTGTAGATAGATTTTGAAACACCACTTTGTTTAGGATGTTGAAGCGAATGAGATAAGGAACAATAATCAGTGAGAGTAAACTGTAAATAACTCCAACCTATGCTCGAAGTTATCCAACAGAGTGCATGTCACAATACCAACGTAGACACCAATGAAAAGTCCATACAATTATCTCTACTGTCAGAATGGCTCTATAAGTCAGAATTAAAATGTTGTGGGTTTTTTTTCACATGTGTGTAAAGTTAGACTCCCATATTCATGTCCAGATACCTAATAAAGGACTTAATTTTCTGAACTTTTGAGAATCTACCACGGCCACTTACACTGCATATTGACTCATATGAAAAAGCACTGATTCTCCCCAGCTTATCCATGGAAATCAATCGTGACCAATAAGAATATTAGTTTTGTGCACTTTCTATCAATGGATTGAGAGCAGTGTTCCTAGTTTTTTCCCATGCCGTGAAAATATTCTGTATATTATGGAGTAGTTTCCTGTGATTCTCTCTGTATCTTGCTCTGACAGGTGTTCAACTTTAATACATTTATATTGTACATCTTTAAGGATGATACTAAGACTAGAAATGATACTGTTCTGGTTTGGGAATTCTGTTCTTTTTCTTCTGCTTTAAATTTCAATAGCTTTTGCTGTCTGATTACGTCTCTCTTAAGTTTAAAATAACAGTTTTGAGTTCAAAGTTGCATAGAAAATGATCATTCTGATTTGGAAATCATACAGCACTATTCCCACCCCCTGAATTCCCAGTATGACATAGCATTAGTATGTTCATCTAATTCCTGAACCACTTGCAAATTAATTGCGTGGAATCACAAAATCAGAGCTTGATACGCTTAAGCTCTTGTTTGTAACCTTTCTAGATGAAGAGGCATAATGACACAAAATAACAGAAGGGAGCTGTGCTGTGTCTCTTTTCTGCTTTACTGGGAGTGTGTGAACCTGGATCTTGAAAGGAAAATCTTCTGCTATTCCTACTCCTGCATGTTGATTGATAAACTTGACTCTCACTTTTCATCTGGGCTGATGTGCTGTAATCACAAAAGAGCTCCTTATTTATTTTATGCTGCATTTCAAAAGAAGGGGGAATAGATATTGGAAAAATTTCTAGAGGCTGAAGAATACTCTGTTCTCTTAGCCTTAAGGCAGGATTCACATGTGTTCCTTTCTTGAAAGTAATGCACTGTACCTAAAAAACACAGATTAAAATAATAAGAAAATTATTTTTATTTGATTAATAATTATCTTCCATAGTGCATCCAGAAATAAGGTTTTGGAAGGGCCTCCAGTGAGAAATTGTTGTTAGGAGCTTCCAGTTTTCAAGGAAGAGCAAATATTCCAAAGTGACTGTAGATGCAGAGTGTGAAGATTCCTTTGAAAGGTGTAGTGGTTAATCTTATTTATTATATGGGAAAAACTTGTTTGCATTAGTATCACTAATGCTCTTTTGCTGCTTTTAAACTGTTCAAAAACATGTTTTCATGAACTTTCACTTACTAAGCATTTTTATTTTTCTTATTTGTAGAACATTCAAGGTATCTCTAAACATCCAGTTAGAATTACAAAGAAACAGTACATAAAAGGTAAAATGTGGGGGTTTTTTAAATGAAAAGACAGTTTTATCTTATTATTTTACTGAGTTATATTTCAAAGCAGACAAATAGCTCCATCATTAAAGAACAGAATAGATGATTGATGCTTCATTATACATTATCATTTAAGCTGATAACTGCTGCTGGTTGTTCCTGGAAACAAATTTGCTCTTTCAGCACTGATCGAAATAGTTACAAACTTTGAGATTTTTTTTTTGTCTTTCCTTCAGCTACCTCACTGTTTCTTTTTCCAGATGAATTATGTATCTTAAATCCCTTAAATATCCTAGGGATGATTTTGTGTGTGTTAAGCTCATGAGGCTTTACCTGAGAAGTTAAACCTGGGCCATTTTAATTGTACAACTGAACACCAGTAGTTAGTCAGGTGTGTTGCTTTGTTAACCGAAGCAGATTTAAGGCAGAAGATTCAGAGAGAATCAAAGTAAAGTCTAGAAGAGCATGAGCCAGGTGATAAAGAGAGAACCCCACAACAGCAGATTAAAGTATAAGAGAGGTATTTCGGAACATAAACTCTCCTTGAGCACCTGCAGCCACAGCTGGGCAATGCTGCTCATTGTGGTGCTTGGTTCTCAGCTTAGGGCAGGCTTTGCCTTTTCACAGCTATTCCCTCCCTGCTTTGGAAATAACACAGATCATAAAACAGGCGGCTAGAGAAGATAATGTAAAATTTTGACAGTAGCTTTATTTTATCCACATGGTTCATTTTTACAAGCCTTTTTTTAAAGTTGTTATAAAAAACTGTGTGAGCAGGGGCTGTATAAACCTGAGGTGCCAGAAATAACTGTGGCACATGAAACTTCCTGGAAATTTTGTTAATGAACCTATATAATATGTGCTTCTCAAAAATGTGTTTATCAGTATTTCCTGTATCAAGACACACTTTTTTCCCCCCACTTTTATGTTGACTAGATTGATTCTGTGACATTTCAAACTACCATCCTTCTCTACTCCAAATCAAGTGGTATTCCCAGGATGCCCTCAGTTTCTAGTACCTTGTCAATGTACATTATTGCTTCATGGTATTATTGGGGATTTCTATCATTACAGTTTGGATGCCTTTGACAGCTGTATGTTCTCAGTATCATATTCCCCTACCACCTGTAACTCAGAATTTGATTATTAACACATGGCTGCAGCATGTTCAAAGATAAAATACATTTGTTTAGTTCCTTTTTATAGACCCTTCTTTATGAATACCTCCGTTATTAAGTGAATAATATTAGTTATTGTAGTTATTTGTTACCTTGTGTTTTGGGAAGGGTTTGGATTTGATGAAGGAAGTAAGCAGTACTGCGAGGATGAGTATGGTGGAGATGAAGTTGCACATGACTGATACACAGAAATAATTGTGATGCTGGCAGTTTGTACCCTGCAAGGTTCCTTGCACTGCCATTTCTGTGGTGTTAGTTGTGTGTTCAGTAAGTCATTTGCAGCCTCCTATGGTTTGCAACACAGTATTTTTGGTCTGGTGTTTGGGACTTAAATGTCTATCTCTTCTCTAGGAAAGGAAGAGGACATAGTAACTATTTCCCCAAGAACACTGTTTGTTTCAAAAAAAGGATGTACATTTTTAGCAGCAGGTAAGATAGTCTGTGCCATTATTCTCATTAATATTTGTAGTTCTGTCATCTCTTTTTCCCCTCTCCTTTGGATGACATATTTTACAAGGTTGTCAAATCCCTTAGTATCAATTAATATTGTTATATGATGTGTACTCCTTAGTATGCTTCAGAACTGGATGATATTTAAAGCCTTGTCAGTAGAAACGAAGAGCTAATAAGATTAATTGGCACTTGAAGATAATGAAGGAATCAGGCACCTTGTGATCCATAGCTGGAATGTAACTTCTTCAGGACGAGCTTCTTACAGGCATGAGGAGGAAATGATTGAACACTCCAGGCTTAGGTTTTAATTTGTGACAGTTTGGTTAAAATGCAGGTATGATTTTATTTTAGAGCAATAGATTCATTTTAACACTCTATTTTCTAGATTTTTCTCATATTGAGTTAAGGATCCTTGCTGACTTATCATCTGAACCAGAACTTTTGAAACTGTTCCAAGAACCTGAAATCACCGATATATTTTCCACACTGGCTTCTCAGTGGTAAGAATAAATGTTGCATAATTTAAGAGTAATTGCACAAAATATTGAGTATAACCTAAACTATTGTATTACTGTGTAATAACAAAAGACTGTATTTTGCTACAGTATCTGTTTTATCATCTATGGATGACTTGGGAAAAGTGGTAATTTAAAAGAAAAAAAATTCTTATTTCCATATCCAGATTATTCTTTACTGATTTCTTCAGCATTCAGATCGAAAGACTAACTATCAAAAAAAAGGTGGACTATTAGATACTTAGCTGTTGAAGGTGTATCTTATTGTTGTTCATATGATGATGATACCTAAAAATCTTACTTGAGTCTGGAACTCCCCTTGTGCTCAAAAGTGCCCGAGTATTCAATAAGTGACAGGATAGATGTCAAGAAGCTTGCAGTTTAGACAGGTCAGAAAAAGACTGAATAAAATGCTGTAACATAAAGCTGTTAAACAGAGTGAAGTCATGTAAATGTCATGCAATGTTCTTATTTTCTCTTTGTTTCCCCTCTCTTATCTTTTTATCTCCATTTCTTGTGGGAAGATTGTTAGCTGAAAATGAAAGCAAAAATAGGTATGATTGATTCAGCTCAGTTCTTATCCTACAGTTTCTTAATATTTGCAGACACAGCCTTCCCAACCACAGTATTTCCTACCCACTTCAGTAGTTCAAAGAATCTTAGAATCCTAGAATGGCTTGTGTTTGAAGGGACATTAAAAACCATCTAGTTTCTACACCCTGCCACGGGCAGGGACACCTTCCAGTCTAGACCAGGTTGCTCAAAACCCCATCCAACCTGGCCTTGAACACTTACAGGGATGGGACATATTTTCTACTATGCTCTGAAGGCTTACAAAGAAACAAAATGGAGCTCAAATTATAATTATCCTGCTACCAACAACTGAATCAGTGCATTCTGGGAGAACACGACTCAAGACCACAAAAGCTTCTATTGATCCTATAATAAATTCTTAGCTCTAAATGATATCACTGGAACCTCGTGATGGGGTTAAGTCCTTATTTTAGTTCAGTGGTTTATTGGAAATGTATGCATGAAGATGAGTCAAATTTTGTCTCAGTTCTGGGCACGGCTCCAGAAATACCATTCTATTCAGCAACCTCACAGCTCTTGGCAGCCGTCAACCTCTCACAGTTGCTACACGGTAACTTTACATTTAATGAAATATTACAGGCAAATATTTTTATCAGACAGAATTGTCACGGTGTGTCTGCAAAATCATTACATAATGATTCTGTTGACTCTCCTCTTAAGCTTCAGGAAAGCTAATGCTTGGAAGAAACTCTTTTGTCGAATCTATTATATGACTGTTATTAATCACAGAAACATGAAGGGTGTGTTTAATCTCACCTAACCTTGGACGTTTGTCATGTACTTGGAGAGATTCATTTGACCTATTGTTGATGTCCCCTGCGTAGTAAGATCAATTGCACCTTAAAAGTGACTTCTCACTGTTGAAAATAAAGTAGCTCTGGGGTGGCCAGCTCAAATGTAGGCATCTGTATTTGTTCTGACAAATGGAATTCCTCCTCTTGGATCAGCTCCTAGTGAATTCACCTTGGAGTTTTGAATTTTGTCCTTAATTTCTTGAGCACCAAAGAGAATTCATAAAGTTACAGGCTTCACAGATACTTTCCCATTCCAGATACTTACTCGTCTCTCATAGTCCACTATTGATAAATAAAATCTTCGTGGCCAACAATTAGTTCATTGACTTCATTGTAGTTGATTCCACTCTGTTGGTATTAGAACAAGTTGTGAAAAAAGCAAAATAAACAACAAACCTTTTATCTCCTCTTGGTCTCCTGGTTTTCTCTGGGTCTTAATCCTTTAAAATCTGAGCAAGTGATGTAGTAAGAGACATAGCAAATGTTTTGTTCTGCTTGAAGGAATTGCATGTTGTTATTTCTAAATATTTTCTAACATATTTTGGACAATTAGAAAACCTTGACAAAGAAAGGTTTTTTCTCTAAGAGATCTATAAAGAATGGATTTGTTTGTGAAGCTCCCTTTCAGAAGAAAAAACTGAGATAGTGCTAATGTCTGATAGCATTTCAGCTTCTGAATGCATGTCAGTTGGTATCTTTCAGCAGGATTTCTGTACCTAAAAATCCTTAGACTGATGAATGTTACGTCATCAAATAGAAAAGAATATATTATTGGACAGAAATCTGAGCCACACTTCAGAATCCAGCCAAGTTTTATACCAGTTTATTCGCTTTTTTTTCTAAGCTTCATGGCTTTTCCACTAAAATGTAACTCCATTCCTTAGCTGCCCTTCAGGTTAAAGCCTTTTATCTGAAATCCAACCTTTTGGAAAACCTTTACAGGCTTTTTATAGCATTTGGCAACAAATACACATGGTGGGCAGTTTCTGCAAAGGGGTGAGCTCTATGAGTTTCTGATTGAATTAAGATCTCTTATGTGTAAAAGCTTTCCTTTCATAATTTGGTTAGGCATGCTGTACTGTGACTCAGCCTATCCCTGGGACCTTAAAGATGCATCCCTCTTGGAAACCTGTTGGATCCCTGTTTCCGTTAGACATTATTATATGGAAGCTTTACATTGGTCAACAGTGCAGGGTAGAGGTGCATAAGGATGTGTCAGCCCAGACTGTGTTTACAGTAAAAGGCTGAGTGGAGGTACCAACTTCCATGCTAAGATTCAGTGTTACCTGCAACACCACACCCAACCCATTAACCCAGCTGAGATGCAACCTCTCCAAAAGGCTGTGCTGGGATCTTGTGCTCCTGTGGAGAACTCACAGAGACAGCTCATTTCAGGAGTGACACAGGACACAGCCTCCACCACTCTGGGCTTCCCTGCACTGTGCTCACCTGTTTGCTGTAAACAGCTTTCTAAGTATTGTGTGTTCTCTTTGGCAGAACTCTCTTGAAATTACTATTCAGATAAAACCCCCAGAAACTGCATTTGACTACCACAGAAGGGGTTTGGGTTGGACAGAGGCTGTTAAAGATCATCTACTGAACCCCGTGGCCGTGGACAGGGAGATCTTGCACTTGACCAGGTTGCTCATCTCTGCCTTGCACAGCCAATATATTTTCTGGTCATCTAACATAGTTACCCCAGCTAAAACTAAGATGATATAAATAGATGTTAATGTTCACTTGTATGTGCTTAGTACTGTTCTCCTGTCTCTGTGATGATGATTATGAGGTATTACCAAAATTATCTCACAGTGATTATTGTGTTACAGCTTATGAAGAGAAATCCTTAAAAGACAGGTCAGCACCTGCTATTACAAGAACATCAAGAATCCTTTATGTTAATGACATACTTGCTACTGAACACGTGGCAGAGTTTCAAGGCTTGCCTAAACTTCTGAAAATTTGTAACACCATGGATTCCAGCTACCTGCAAGATCACCTTGTGTTGTATTGTCTTGATGCCCTGTGAGAGTTATAGTCCTTTTAAATCCAAATCATCATCCCAGTGCTGAAGGTGACGAGAGCTGTCCTAGCAGCTGTCTGACCAGCCAAGGGACCTAACTGGCACTAGACATCCAAATGACAACACATCTCAGCAGGAAATTGCTCTCACTCCTTTAGTGTAGCTTTTACACAATAAATGAAAAATAAGTAATTGTATTTAAAATGCTGTTGATGATCATATCTTAAAATCACTTTCAAAGATAGATGCTGAAAACGAAGTTTGCAGTCTTTTAGGTAGTCTGCCATTTATTTCTTAATCAGAGGTTCAGCGATTACCCATCTCTTTCGAACTGTTCTTTTGTCACCCATCTCAGTAGGTCGTTGTTCCTCCATCATAGTATACACTCATATTGACCATATTGGGTCAAACTCCAGGAGAAGGATCTTGATTTAGGTAAGCAATTAAGCACACCATAAATATGTGATTTCATCCTATCTGACTTATGCTTACTTTCCTTCCTGAGTGCTTTCTTGAACTGGGATAGTACTGCTTCAGAGTCCCGATGACTCAAGCATTAAACTATACTTAAAATATTTGGGCAAGGCCTTTCCTCTGTTTCTTTAGAATCCATATCAGAGAACTGGAGATCGCCAATAGTGACAAGTTCAGCTGCATCCAGCAGAGCACAGGGTCCTGAGGGCAGCCTGGCCATACAAATTCAACTATATTTTATGGCCCTGAACTGGGTTAGTCATTTTAATCTTGGAGATGTTGTCATTGTGTTCCAGTGTTTGCTACAGACATCTCTGATATCTGCAAATTATATTTATGTCCTATATTTTAGGTTCTTGAACCTGAAATAGAACACAAAACCCAGTGTTGGGTTGCCAGGCTCTGTATTCAGTGCCAAAATGTGCATTTCAGAGGGTGGAAAAGGCTCAGTGTGGACCACAGAGCCACCTAAGAGAAGTTAATGAAACATTCTAATCGAAGAAGTTTGCATTTGAGCTCCTCTTAGAAAGCTGGAACAGAATGACAAGGACACCTGTGGTCCAGACTATGTGCCTGCTAGATAGGTAGTGTTCCTTGAGAAAAATTGAGCAGGACTCACTGTTTTCAAGTGGCTGTGGCCCAGCTTTTGTTTTATAAGAACTGGGTGCTTGGAAACCTCCGTTCAACCTGTTAAATCTTAGAGTATTCCACTGTCTCCTGCAGGAAAACACCAAGCAAGGCCAGACTTTATATGTTGCACCTGAGAGTCCGTTCAGCAAATATTATAAAGTTGAAATAGTTGGATTTTTTTAATTGAGCAAAGATAAGATCTAGAAAAGACGTGATAAAAATCTTCAAATATATAGGGGTTGTTGCAGAGAGCTGAGTAGAGAGTTTGCTCACAGTGTTGTAAGAGATGTTTCAGTTAAGTCTTTTGAATACTACAGACAATAAATATGGAGATGGCTTATCTCTAAAGGCTGTGCAATTTCCATCACTGGAAGGAATGAGACAATTAGACAGATATTGCCAAGGGCAGGTGAGGCAATTTCTCAGTCTCTCTCACAACTGTCTTTTTATGAAACTGTGATTTTATTGCA